CGGCAAGTGGATCACGCTCGCTCTCATCATTCTGCGGTTCTACAAAAGCTCGCGATTGTGCAGTGCACAAAGGATGTGCAAAAGTAGGACTGCGTGAACGGTTGAATAGCCTCCGGCGTGGTGGGAAATGATGCGCCTGACAAGACAATGAATATATATGTATATATGGATATATATATATATATTGTGTGTGCACACACACACACACACACACGACACGCACGCACGCACGACACACACACACACACACACACACACACACACACACACACACACACACACACATGTGTGTGTGTGTCTGCGTGCGTGCGTGCGTGTGTGCGCGCGCTAAATAGCTATTTGTCCCTTCGTTCTAATCTAATGAGCTATGGTTTTCTTGTTTGTACTTCTCATGATACTAAGTAGCCAAAAAACTTTTATAAACATCTTTTTCCTTCCTTCTTCGATGACAATTTAGCTTTTTTTGTAAATGTATAAATATAAATGTGTATTGGGGCCGAATCTAAATGGGTATCTTCGCCATTCCGATATTCGTTTCTTATATTCATCATTAATCGTTTGCATTTATAGTCTCCTGTTTGTATTATTCATGCAGCTATCTGAATGTTTACGTGCTGCTACCTATTTATAAGAACCAGAAAATAAACATAATCTATTGGATCATCGTCTATAAATTATCTCGTGTTCCTCAATCGTAATTTTATAATTCTGGTATTGTATATATAGTAAGTCCTACAATGGTTTTATTTAAAAGGCGGTGCCTCGCTCTCTTTTCGCTCTTTTTCTTTCTCCCTCGCCATTTCTATAATCTCCTCTTCTATTAATCTTTCAGCGTATAGGCAAAGTTTTTAATAACCGTCATGTGCTTTTACGTTGAGTGTGACTGTAGGTGGGATTGCATGCGCTGATAGACGCGTGACTGTAGTAGCACTTCCGTCGCGAGAGAGTCCAGACCCTATGTGCATGGCAGGCTTGTGGCGCAGCTTGCTATTAAAACCCAACGACTTCGTTACGATGCTCTCTAATGGACTGCATAAAGGTGGCACAAGTCGGTGGCGTGTTTGTTTTTGATTATCGGAATTGAGAAAATGCAGCCGCGCCGCTTTTGTACGTGTGTCGCGCTCGCGGAAAGCGTATTGAAATGCATGCGCACCGCCAGCGTCGGCGAGCGGGGGACTGCGGCCCGCCGAAAGGCAAACCAGCTTCCCCCAGATTTATGTGTTGACACACGCGCGGCGTGTTTGCCTATGCAGATCTATGCCGTCGCGGGCCGGCCGCGAGAAGCAGCGATGGACGCCGCGTTGTTTTCTCGCACGGCGGCGCTTGACGCGCTCTGAGCGGGGTGCTGGGCAGCAGGCAGCAGCAGCAGCAGCAGCAGCAGCAGCAGCGCTGACTCTCACCGCCTCCGCGGCCTGGGCACCCGCTGCGCGCGTAATGCAGTGGCACGATGCGTATGGGGCACAAGCTCGATCGTGTGTGTATGTTAATGTCTGTTTTCGTGTTATGGAGATTTTAAAATGCGCGCGCGCGTCTTGGTTTGAGGTCTGGCGAGAGTGAACGGCGGGTGAGAGTGTGGGCCTATTTTGATTCGCGTGATTATCCTAATGGAGTCCGAACAGTTGGCTAATGCTTGCGATTGCGTATCGCCGGTAGCTCTTGTTTGTTTATGTATGCAAAACGGATTTGTGCTGCTTGTTAGTTTTCTCATCGTCGGGCTTTCATGATTCTTGCCGGGGACTTAGCCCGACGATTGTACCAAGAAGTGCCCTCTGTGAGGCAGGCTCTGTTTTACCAGTGGATTAGAGCACGACTCTACAAAGCCTTTCATTTACACTCGTAGGCTTTAGTCGGCCGCTGGACTGCGGTATAGGTTTAACTTAAGTAGCGAAAGCTTGCAGACATGTAACGCTTCGATGAGAGGTGTTCTATGGCTTTGTTTGCCAACGATTAGGAAGAAATTACGCCGTTACCATAGCTATGTTTGAGCAGTAGGTTTTAATGACTCGTAGGTATATTGTGCGCATCTCACTACAAAATGTAATACCACCAATGAATTCTGACGGATTTCTCATCATTTCGACGTAGTTGATGGTGAAATGCGTATAGATCGACCGCATCGTATGTGTCGGTGTTTTAGGTCAGAAACAGCATTCATACGAGCATTAGTGGCCAGCGCTATGGCCCGTCCAGTGCGACTAGTTTCCTGGGGCGAATACCGATAGTTCGGATGCGCGATGGAAAGCACGAAGACGTGCACAAACGTCGATTTCGGTGCTGCACTTCTCTGTTTGCTTGTCTTTGCCGGCTAGCTCTATTTTCTCTTCCCGCGTGCAAAGCGAAGATGTGAGAGCTTGGCTGATAATGGCAGCGAGTGGCCGCTCGCTGAATTGTGGTCATCGTTTGCGTTACTGATTCAACCTTCCTGTCATTTTAAAACAAAACACGCCAATTGGTTCGCACTGTTGATGTTGCGTATCATTTCCCCGTTTGTTGGCATTCCTCTGGTCACTTTCAACAAAAGCTTTGTTTGGCGGGGCCGGCTTTTCAGTGCACTTGATGTCCTGCCTATAAAAACAAAGCGCTAAGATAAAAGGAAGGCAGGGGGCTGCTGTGCTGAAGAGGTCAGTCACCAAAAAAAAGATGTGCCTCGCACGTGGAGCTTTAAGCCCTACGATAACTTCTGTCTTTGTCCATTTTTCAGGCGCATACTTTTAACTACTTCAGACAATCGAGGGAGACTTGTGTGAATGATAACTGACCTGTAATCTCATGATGAACGCATATTTGTGTCCTGTAAATAGCAGGGCTGATTTTTATAGCTTTTTTTTCATTTCGGAGAGGATGCTTAATTGTGTTAGTGTCAGTTAATGTAAATTTAGCCTACTTATGGGGCCAACGTTATCTGCATGATGCTTATAATGCCATGTTAAGCTTAGTTCTCTTGTCATGGCAGAGTCTTTGCTGCATCAATTATCAATTATAAAAAATATTATGAAGTATTTTTCCGACTGGTTTTTAAGAAATTTGTAATTAAATAAAATAATTCGTATTTTATCACTTTATATGAGCTGGACTGCTTGAGCACCGGCTTATGTCATTATATGTGATATATTATTGTGTTATTATTAGGGGTATATTCACTATATTGCAAAAAACGTCATTTTTATGTTGAAACAAATGAAGTAGGCCATATTGGCATTCCTTATAATTCGCCGTGTGCATATGTCATCACTTGCCGAAGCTGGAAGTGAAACTTGGCGTTCTGTGTGAAAATGGAGTGTCATATACAGGATCTCTGGTCACAGAGCATACCTAGCTCAGATGATATTTATCACATTACCTGATTGATGTATAGACACAGAAGTTAGCTAGCACACACACACACGCACACGCACACGCGCACGCACACACGCACACACACACACATGGTGACGGCTCTGTTGTCTGTAGGAAATATAGACTCATCGGTATTCAGCGATACATAATGGTTTGGACAACGTTATCTGACTGTACATTTTTATCCGACATATAATTAATGAGCTAGGTTGCCTATAGATTTGATTTGTTTATTGATTCAACGCATGCTTGCATTGCGTTGAAACGAGTATATTCATTCATACTGAGTTTCCTCTGGTAATATCTCGTAAAGGAAATGTCTCTTGTTCGCAGATGAAAATTCCCAGAGATTAGTCATATGCATTAGCTATATCTCGCGTTTAATGTGTACTAGTGCACACCGCTGCCTATAAAGAATTGTCGCTGGACGGGACACGTTGTGGCGAGAGCCTGATAAAGCAGTGCGGCTTAGGGTCAGCTACCATGCGGTCAGCGAGTCAGGCGCTGCGCATTCGACCGAGCCGAGCCCACGTGAATCACCCCGGCATCTACCCATCTAGCTCCCACTCTCAGCTATTAATGTAGCTCGAGTCTGTAACGAGCTCTAAATATGTTGCTTCGTAACCACTATTAATGTGGTAAATTGGTGGAATGGATGCGAAATATGAATAGGAACTTGCGCACCGAACAGTGTATTCAACACGTTATTTACACTATGATCTTTTTCGTTGGGGCGTCTGTGGGTATGATCGCCTGCACGTATAATCTTGGCCCACACCAACCCAAAATGTGCATTATATACATCATATAACACATATTGTAAAATCATTTTCCGCATAGTGTGTGCATCACCACGTGGTGCTGTATAGAGTACGTGTATATAACAGAGATTCTGCTCGTAGAGTGCATTCGCACAGGAATGTGTAGAGGTTCGTATGTCTGTATACCACGTGAAAACTATTCCTACGTACTATTCGCAAGAGTAGTCAATAATTTACAACAAAGGATTATGTGCATGAATTTGATGCACATCGTCCGATGTTTCCGTTTGACTGCACACGTTATCTGCCGTGTGACGCAGTGTGCGTTTCAGCTGTTATATACTGACGTTGATAGGCATTTTCGTTTCTAGCTAGTATATAGTATGGGATATTCCCAGCTTGCCTACAGTTTTGTTATTCCACAATTGTAATATGTGAAATCGCGCACAGCCGACGGTACAGTCCACGACTCTGATTATCGTACTGATAGTATAATCGTAGTTAATAATTTGTTAGTATGACATTAATTTTTTTTTGCTGTGTTTGCGCGTTTCGAGGTCAGGCAAAGCGAGCACCTGCGGTGCTTGCCCAGCTGGGGGGTCCGGGGCATCCCCCTTCGCAATATCTTTGAAAAAATGGAGCAATTTTGTGCATTCGAAGCTATTCTGAACACGTTGTATGAGACTCTTGAATCTCTTTTTCAAGTTGTCAAAAGGAACAATTCAAATAAACTTCGACAAATTTCTGTGTGGCGGCTGAGAATTTGAGCGAGGCGTCCCGCCTCGCTCGTGTCTATGCAGGCGAAACACTGGCTATGGGAGTATGGCGCGTGTATTCTTGAAATTAGTCTTAATCACGTTGTAAATCTCACCGCTAACCTAGTCGTGTATTTATCCTATGCAGGATAGAGTCGGACGAAGTGGTAGAGAACGAGTTAAACAGACGAGGAGTCCAGATCAAGGAGGAGAAGAACTGCAGCATACAGTAGTCGGTGGCTTCTCTATAGGTGAGTTCATCCACATTCATTCTATGCTAACATTGATTTCAGTAACGCTGATAGGGTCTATGTCCCCCAGGGTACTGCCGGAACGTAGCCTGGGTACGGTCCGTTATACCGGAACGTACCCTGGTACTATATATCTAATATGCCGGACCGTACCTCACCTACTCCACTAACGAGTCTAGTGATCGCCTACTCCCTAACCCTAACCCTAACTCTAACCCTATAACCCTAACCCTAACCTTAACCCTAATCCTAACCCTAACCATATCAAATAGTGACCCGGGTACGTTCCGGTATACCGGAGCGTACCCAGGGTACGTTCCGGCAGTACCCTGGGGGACATAGACCCTATGAGCTTCAGTAACAGAGCGGTATCGCCTGTCATCTACAGTCCCTTGCACCGATCATCCTATTGGTGGTGAACGACAACTTCAGATTAGTTGCTGTTTCTACCTGTGAGCAATAAAGTAGACTTGGCGAAAATCTGGTATTTTCGTCGAAAACCGACTCGAGATCACTGTTTACTGTGACTGTCTCTCGCTTTGAGATAACTTCGGGAAACCTCGCGTGTTTCCGTCAATGATTGACAAATCAAATGAATGACGTCTGTTATTGATTGCCATAGTGATGACCTCCACCTGTGCCCACCTCACGCTGGATGTATAGTAAACTTTGTAGTACTGACGTAATGAGTCAACGCTACCATGGCGCTACACAGCGGCGACCGGAAGCAATACACTGGCCACAAAGCGAGAGACAGTCACAGCAAACAGTGATCTCGAGTCGGTTTTCGGCGAAAATACCAGATTTTCACCGCTCATTATCTCAGCGTATGGGCATCGTAGGGACATGCGGTTTGTTTTATATTAACAAGGTAGGACATCTGATCAATAATACAGCAAAGAATCGTCAAAATAAAACGGACAACGTTTCTTAATTCGACTAATACTGCAACATGGTTTCAGCATTTCACCGTTGTACGCTCTCCTTCTTTATACGCTCTTGATATAGTGTAGCCCCGTTATAACGCGATTATATATATATATATACTATATAATATATAGTATATTATCACACATGATATGTATATATATATATATATATATATATATATATATATGTATGTATGTATGTCACGTGTGTATGTATATATATGATAAGTCAATTGTGTGGCCGATGGTGTGGCGGTTGAACGATACAGGGTTTCGTTTGACTAAAATATGGTTGTATTAAAGTTATTGAGACAATGCCACGGAGAACGATGTGTGTGTGTGTGTGTGTGTATGCCACAAGTGACATCGTAGATAACATTGAACGCCATCCGTATAGAGAGCCGCGCGTCGATTCGCTTGCGGTGATATCAGTAGGCTGCGTGCGTCGTTCTCGCTCTCTCGTCGGGCGACTCAGAAGTGCTCTAACAGTAAGGGTTGTATACCGGAGAAGAATGCATCGTCTCGGGTACGACTTAATCCGCGGCAACAGTCGGCGGGCCTTCCATACAAAATATTTGCGTGCCTTTTGCAAGCGAGTCGCGAAAGTCGTATTGTCTCAAGTTGCGAGAGCCGCGTCGTCGGCCAAACAGCGGGGAGTGCAGTCGCAATCATGCCGACTGGCTAAATGGCCACCGCTCAGTGATGTTGTTCCAACAGTGTGTGCTCACCGGCTAGATCACAGCCTCACGGCCGCGAATGCCGTCGTAGTCTAATGTCTGCGCTCGGCCGCCATTGTTTGTCGCCCGGGTGCTCGCGGGGTGCCGCCATTGCAGTCATTGTGGCGCGCTGCCGCACGGCCACGTCGCACGCTTGATTGTTAGCGCGTAAGCCCGCAGTGTGAGCGTAGTACTGCTGCCCGCATACCCGCCCGCCCCGCGCGCGCACTCGCCCCGCTACCGCAAGTAATTGCTCGTCGTAAGCGGCACTGTTGGCTGCGTTTTGGGTGTGCAGCTTATCGCGGCATATTCATGGCTTTTTGCGCGCGCGAGCCGTAATCCTGTCATTGGGTTGGAATTAAGAAGATGACTACCGTCCTTTATGGTGGGCGTCGAGTCATTTCCACCCGCCCTCAGCGGCCAAGTAAATCAAATTGTCGTTTTTGTTTGGCCGATGTCGAGCAAGTCGCAGATCGACGAAGCCTCAGCCGTAATCTTGGTCTGTAATTCGGCGAAATTGGCCAACAAGATTTTGTAACCACAGATTGACAAACCGGCGCGACTTGACTGGAGTTTGTAAGCTGCTTGCTAGCGCGACAGTAACACTAAAAAGTGTTGAAGCCTGACGCGTTTACGTGTCGATCGGTGGTCGTTGCTGGTTGGGCTGTAGTCTACTGTTATACGAGCTGTGTATATTGCTCTCGGATATAGGATGAGTTTATTGCTTCTTGAGAAAAAAAACCTTTGTAACATTTTAGAAGGGTTTCTTAGTCATGGGCTCGTTAAAAATGTGTTTCGCTAATACACTCTGTTTGGCTTACAATAGCTGCTTATCTGTTTCACGACTAAGTTATAGTTTGCTTAGCTGAGAAGTAGTGATATTAGTATGAAGCTTGCAAGTGATGACAGCAGAGGGTAAAGGGAATTGTCACAACGATGGAATTTTCCAAAATATCTTACGCATATTTTTATGATATCGAAAACGATGCTTTAGTTTGTGAACTTTTACCTTCATTAATTTCATTATTCCTTTATAAATGTTTTTAGACTTCTGTTATATTTCCGCGATGCTATATTTTATGTCGATAATATTTTTTCTATAGTATATTTACTTGAAATAACTCACAGTAAATACACTGAAATAAATTACAGTAGATATCATCAAACACATAATTTATATGAAAATCATGCCTTGTTTAATAATGTTTAGATTTAGTTGTGTCGAGATTTGTTGACTAAAATTTTTACACCATGTTGTCAAAGTAACCGAACAAACTGATGCAGTACATTGTTGAGGAAATGTTAGTTGGTAGCTAATAGTAACTCTTCATTTTATTCGTTCCTTTTAAATTAGTGAAATGCGCACGAATGCACACGCAGACGCGCACGCGTGTGTTCGTACGTGCGTTCGTGTGCGTATATGCGTGTATGTGTGTGTGTGTGTGTGTGTGTGTGTGTGTGTGTGTGTGTGTGCGTGCGTGCGTGCGTGCGTGCGTGCGTGCGTGCGCGTGCGCATGCGCGTGTATATGTGTGTATGTGCGCGCGCGTGTGTGTGTTTCTGTGTACGTGTATGTGTATGTGCGTGTGCGTGCGTGCGTGTGTGTGTGCGTGTGCGTAGACTTGTGCGCGCGTGTGCGGGTGGCGAAATTTTTTTTCCCACGAGAGTTCCGGACCCACCACAGATAGTGTTTTGTAATATATGGTGTCTATATAAGACGAACCTGGTTGGATTATAGTTAGTGTTAGGGTTAGGGTTCGGGTTAGGTTTAGGGTTAGGGTTAGGGTGTGTAAATTTTACATTGTTGCTTCGAGGAAGTCGAGTGAAATGGAGTGCGCTGATTGGCTGGGGTCCGGAACTCTCGTGGGAAAAAAAATTTCGCGTGCGGGTGAGCGTGCATGTTCAGAGAAGGGCGCGCATGTGCCATCGAGTCTGCGTACAAAACTGGGTACCCGCGTGTGCCTATGTGTGTGCACGTATTTAGCGTTTCGTGGGGGTGGGAGTGTGTTGTGGTGATCAAGCGTCCATCTGTGATAAGGGCTATTGTTGCGATCTCTGTGCCATATTTCATGCAGTTCGAGCGATACCGATGTTGAAAGATTTTGGGATGGCTTTTCTCACTGTTTGGTCGGCTAAGCAGGCCTAATCTGAGAGCTTACCATATTTCAATAATGGTGTCTTGGGAGATTTCGTGCACGTTTGCCTGTTGAATGGGAGGTAGGCGACAGGTACTTAAAGCGTTATCGGATCAGTTAGTGCTTAGCCGCCGCTGACTGTAGTGCCCGGCTGTCGTAGCGGTTCTCTAATTAGAGAGTAAGGGCCGCCCACGAGATAAAGAGTTACTCCCCTGTGAGCAGTTTCGGTTGCCCTCTCTATTTTCGGTTGCCTTGCGCTGCAGGTTTTCCGCTAGTGTGCCTGAATGCTGAAGCCATGGTGTGAGGTACGCGTTCACTTGTCTACGTAACGACTTACGGGGCAAAGTAAGCACGTGAATAATATGCTAATAATAATTATTTTTTCGCAATTTATACTCGCATGTACCACACATCTGCAGACACGCGCGCACGCACGCACGAACACACACACACACACGAACGCACACGCTCGCAGCGACCGGCGCGCGCGCTGTTTTAGCTCGTGCTGTGCTGCATGCAACGTGTTTTAGCTTCGCTGCTGCTGACCGTTGTTTTTCGCTGCTGTGCTGCCGGTGTATTATAGCTCGCTGCTGTCTGCCGTGTTTTAGCTCGCTGTGCTTGCCGTGTTTATAAGCTCGTGCTGCTGGCCGGTTTTAGTCGCTGTGCTTGCTGCCGTGGTTTAGCACGCGCTGCTGCTGCGTGTTTTAGCCTCGCTGTCTGGTGCCTGCCGTGGGTTAGTTCGCTGCTGCTGATGCGATGTTTTTGTAGCTCGCTGCTGCTCCGCGCCGTCGTTATTAGCTCGCTCGCTGATGCCGATGTTTTGAGTTCGCTGCTGCTGCGCCGTGTTTAATAGCTCGCTGCTGATGCCGTGTTTTTAGTTCGCTGCTGCTGCCGCCGGCTAAGTTTTAGCTCCGCTGCTGCGCGGTTCGCGTTTTAGTTCGCTGCGCTGCTGCGTGTTTCTTTTGCTGCTGCTGCCCCGTGTTTAGTCGCTGCTTGCCGCTGCCGTGTTTTAGCTCGCTGCTGGCTGATGCCGTGTTTAGTCGCTGCCGCTGCTGCCCGGGTTTTGTTTGCCTGCTGCTGCGCCGCTGTTTAGCTCGTGCTGCTGCTGCCGTGTTTAGTTCGCTGCTGCTGCTGCTTGCCAGTGTTTTTGTTCGCTTGCTGCTTGATTGCCGTTTGTTTTAGCTCGCTGCTGCTCCGCCGTGTTTTAGCTCGCTGCTTGCCG